AAGTAGGCCGACATCATTGATGTTTCCGCGCGCTATATTATTGACCAATTACAGTCTGCGTAAGAAAACTGAGGACGTCACTACGTTCCACGTAATAAACTCAGTTTTGAGACTACGAATATCAGGACTGTTTTAGATTAAATTGTTATATGCAGACACCTTTATTATTTTTTATCTATAAAATCAATGGTCCGACGGACTATTAGTGCTTTTAATCCGCGGGTCCGTCAAAGTAATTTATGAGTCCCGGACCTCGGACCACCGTATTCTTCAACCCCTGAGGTATGCTTGGCTTAGCTATTTCAGGCGTATTGCTTAGCGCTAGGCAGCCTAGCCGAATGCCTAGTCAGCGTTCCCTCTGTGTCCCTCCGCGAACTAACACGGATCATCGAAATGATGACCTCGGTTCAAAGGGTTGTTCCCCAGGCCGCACTACGCAGCCGCCCGGTATAACGCTTGTTATAGCGCCGAGCTCTCCTATGGGAACTAGATAGGCGGGTTTCGATCTCGAACCAAGTGAAGGAAGCCCTGCCCTGGTGGTCGTCACTGGCCAACCTCGGACAGGGGAGCCCCTTGGGCCCGCTCGCCGCAGGTATGACTCTGGTAACAGATACCTCCCCCTAGGGTTGGGCAGCGCATTAGTTTCGGGACTACCATATCAACCGGCTCGAACTGAGAGCAGTGTACCTAGCACTACCACGCTTTCTACCCGTAGTTCGAGACCACAGAGTCTGCTCCGCACAGGCAACGCAGCGGTGGTCTCCTTCAAGAAGGAGGGGGGGAAGCCTTCCCCATCGTTGTCGGTCCTAGCGGAGCAAAATCCTCCTTTGGTGCCTGGAATACAATGTGGAGCTAACCGCACACCACCTTCCAGGGGTGAGGAACAGTCTGGCGACGCCCTTTCAGGGCGGCTCCGTCTCCAGAACACGGAGTAGTTGATACCCCAGCAGGGTTCTCCCCAGAAAAAATGCATAGCGCCGGGGCTAATTTGCATAATAATTTGCATATCATTTACATATCTTTCCTTCATTGATTAACAGAACTTATTTACAGTTATGAATATTAGTGAGCTCAGTCACAGGGCAAATATTTTTTTTAATGGAATCAACACATTATGTTTCACAATTTAGAAGAGTTTGAAACATTCTCGAAATACAAATGCTGCAGACTAAAAACACAAATACATTATTGTTGCAATTTAATTGTTTTGTAAAACGTTGAAGGAAACGCATTCAAAACGTTAAGC